GCCGCCGGCGCCGCTTTGGGCTCTTCGCCTCGGCCGCCCTCAGACCAGCCGAGCTCACCCGAGCTCACCCGAGAGCAGGTGCCGCCGCACGAGCTCGTCTCCTCGGCCGCATCTCCGCGCGAGAGGGCATCGCGCTGTCGAGACCACAGAAAGGCATCAAGGAAGACGCTCTGCCCTCAGGCGGCCTTCCGCGCGAGCTCCTTTGGGCGGCGGTCGTCGCGGGAGGCGCTCGAGGCGGCGGCGGACGGGAGGCGGAGGCGCGAGGCGGAGGCGGCGGCGCAAGAGCAGCCGCCCCTCGCTTCGGCCCCCGGGTCGCTGACGCGTGCGGCGGGCAGGCGCGACTTGCTGCCCCCTCTCCCGCCCCGGCTCGCCAGGACAGCCCCGCCTTTGTGAGGCAGGAAGGTGACGACTGGCCCCATGCGCCCTTTATCACACTACCCCTTCGCCGACTGCCCTTCCCTCCGTCCCCTTCTCCGGCCTCGGCGAGCCGATGTCTGCTGAGCCCCCGCCCTGCGCGCAGTGTGCAATCTTTACCGGTATGGGAGTTTTTGGCTAATCAAACCCAAGGCCTGCACTAATCAAAAAGTGGTACGGGATACCAGTTGCCTCACGGAAATCAAAGCGAGTCGGAGTGCCTTCTTGGTGGCAAAATCGGCAAAATCGGCAAAATACCGGGTATTTTGCGGGTATACCTCTGGAAAAACCCGGGTATACCCGGGTAATACCCGCACTGTTGCATGGTTTCGCCCCCGGGACCACACCGACAGCCGCTACAACTACTGAAAACCCCGCATACCACTTTCGCATACCACTATACCATACCACTCCAAAACTAATCAAAATATCGCCAAATACCAGTCTCATACCGCGGTAAAGATTGCACACTGCGCGCGCGACTCGCGCGTCGGCGGTCGTTTTGGCTTTTTGGACGGCTTTTTTGGATTCTCCCGCCTTCCACCCCTCTGTTGGATGTTTTTTTGTGCGCGAGCCTCTGAGGCTCTGTCTTTCGCTCATCAGTCATCTCCGTCGTGTACTGCTCTACCCCACGTTACGTAAACATCGCGAGCGCTCCACACCGTACAAATCTCAGCACGCGGCGGGCGTGGCGAGGGTCGTGGCGTAAGCGCAAGTGGATCGCTCGCTCACTGGCCCGAGCTTCTCGCTCTCCGCGCACTCGAACGTGATGCGGACCGACCGCTTCGGGCCGGCGCCGCACTTGTCCCCTCCGCGCAGCACACCCACGGCGCCGGCGGTCTCCCAAGCCCACTCCCGCCCGAGGGAGAAGGCAGCTTTCCCCTTGCCTCTCCCGCGCTGGGTCGCGCGGCTGTAGAGGCAGACCTCGTACTCGTACTCGCCGCCGGCGACCTGCGAGCGAAGGGGAGTGCGAGAGGAGGCTGGGGGGGAGGGGAGGGGAGGGGCAGGCAAGGGGAGGGAGGGGAGCGAGGAGGGGAGGGGCAAAGCGTCTGGAGGAGTGGGGAGGCCTTGAAACATCGCCCGGAGAGCGCCCCGAAAGCGGTCGCGCCCGC